GACCTTATAAGATTCAACCCAATGGTTTGTGACCATGTATTTTACACTCTGCCAATTTTGCAAGACTTTGACTCACAAAAAGGTTTTAAAATAAAACTGAACATTCCAGATCTGAAGGGATCAAATTTCAAATATTGGACTCTGTGTTAAATAAGCCAATACAAAAGATTCTGATGACAACCCAAGTGATAAAATCCCCTCTTCAAAGAAGAGGTCCCATTACGAATGTGGACCATCAGACAGTGACTGAGGCAAGTGGATCTCAGGATGAGAAACAAAGTATATTAGAAAAACTTACCTTGGGCAAGTCTTCTGGTGTATTACAATTTTGGATTTCTGTCTTGTTGTCTCCAAATATCTCAATGTCCATGGCAATAACTCTTTCTTTACTAAATGTCCCAATCTCTGAGACAACTGAAGGCAGTACCTCTTCTCATGTTGGCATGTGAATGCCTTTCATCCCATACAAAATTATTTTTTCGCTATTAGTCCACAAAAAGCAGTTAAAGTAATGGGGCAAGAGAACCTACAGTTTTCCTGTCATTGGTATTGACAGGGCCGAATATAGTGACTTCAAAATACCAGTTAAAATGATACCTACGCAGCTAAAAAAATTTAAGCAAAGAGCAAAGCATTATTACAAGCCATGTTCTAAATTCCATCGCCATCAAATGGAGAGGAACATTGTTCATCACCTGAGTGAATCCAGGAAACGTAAACTGCTTAGTGCTTAGTTTAATGTGACTGAAACTTTGAGGACATACACAGGAGATAGGTATCAAAATGCTGAAATAAAATTTCAAAATTATGTAGGATTTTCCAATCCAGAAATTGGAACAGATTAAAAATTTCAAATGGTCCAAGGTGCATGCTGGTTTATGGAACATTTACACCATTGGAGATTGATGCTAATTCTGTATATTTAACTTTGCAAGGTTCTATTCCTGGCATGAATTCTCACTAAGATGGCAGTTGGACAGAGGTAATACTACAGATCTATTTTAGGGCCCATACATCAATCCAGCAATAATGCAAGCCAGGACTCTCACCTCCCAAAATTACCCTTCAGAAGTACAGCCAGGAAGATCAGACAGGCTGAGGAATAGTTTAGATTTCATTGTCTTTGGCTGCAGTCTATTTTGGCAAAAACACAAGCTAACGAAATAAGATTATATCAGTGAAGCACTTTTCTGTAAGAGCTTGCAAGCACAACAGTTAACATATTAGAAGGTGTTTTATACATGGGAAAACACACCAAGAATGCATTGTTCATGGTGTCTTTACATGCAACTATTGAAATGCAAATTCCCTGGTATTCCTTTGTTGTTTGATAAGTAACTCCATAAGTGAGACTAACCAGATAAAACATAATGAGCCATGGCTAGGATAAGTGGAGATACTCATCGTAACTCATATTCAGAGTGAGTTTTCAACTGAAAAACATTTTAATAAGCAGTTAAGGACTTGTTTTATCATGTCATAATGAAATCATAGATGTAGAAATAGGATTTTATCTTCACTTTATCCAATCATAAAGCTAACAATGTAAGAACTGGATATAATTAGTAAACACTTGCAGGAATGTTCATATAAACACAAGAAAGCTTGAAGTCAGAATAGGCCATTCAACCCACCAAATATATTTTTGCCTGACAGTCCCTAAATATCTGCTTTGATCTTGAGTTCTCCATGACCAAATACTGTTTAGGATATTTTCTTCACAAATGATATTTTCTTCATAATCCTTACGACTAAAAGAGATCTCCATGATGATAAGGAGTCATGCAAAATTTTAATTTGCAAGGTAAAGACTTTTGGAGTTTGAGGTCATACATTAGCATGGATAAAGGATTGACTTTTGCATAGGAGAGATTAAGGATAAATAAGGCATTATCAAGATGGCAGACTACAGTGGAGTGCTGCAAGGTTCAATGCTGGAGTCTCAACTATTTACAATTTGTATTCATAACTTATAAGACAGTGAGAGCACTGTACCTCTGTTCGCTTCTTGTATAAAATTAGCTGGAAAAGTAGGAAGTGAGCAAAGAGGTATATGCAGATTAAGTCATTGGGTAAAAAGAAAGCAGATGGACTGGGTTAGTGAAAAGTTATTCATTTCCCTAGAAATAATTGAGAAAAAAATGATACCAAACTTTTAAATGTTAATGTTCAGAGAGATGTGAATGTAAAGAACTCAATAAGTTACTATATAGCTGCAACAAGCAATTGGGATAGCAAATGCCACATTGATAAGGTGATTGCAGTACAAGAATAAAGTCATCTTACTGCAATTGCATAGGGCTTTTGAGTTGCTACTAGGTATGCAGTTTTGTTTTCTATATCTAAGGAAGGATATGCTTGCCTTGGAGATATCATAAGTGATTCCTGGGATAAGGGACAGAAAGACTGAATAAATTGGCCTATGTACTCTGGAGTTTAGAAGAATGAGAGGTGATCTCATTGAAACGTTCAAGATCCAGAAGGGGCTTAACTGATAAAACTTCAAGATTAATTTCTTTGCATGGGGATTCTGAAACACAGGGGCACAACAAGAGGCGTTGACAATTTAGAAATAAGATACGGAGAAATTTCTTCACTTAAGATGTTTATGAATTATTGGAATTGTACTTTAAGGGTTATAGACTCCATCGAGTATATTCAAAACTGATAAAAATTGTTGACCTGACAGGGAACCAAGGGCATAGAGGGCAGGAAGAAAAGTGAAGTTGAGGCAGCTGATCAACCATGATTGTATTGAACAGCAGAGCAGTCTTGAGGGGAAGAATGGTGAACTCTTATTGCTCGTATTCTCATGTAATCCTCAACTGCCTTTCTCTTTAAAGGTTTCAAGTGACTGAGAATTAATTTACTTTTTACTTTCTGTTTCAGGAACAGAACACCCCTAATTGGTAATAATGTGCAACATTGTTATGGTTAAGCATTCATGTATGACTTTATATTCACTTAACATGCTCTTCACAAAAATTTAATAAAAATGACTTGCATATTATATTTATGATCCTCCACAGTGTGTGGGAGAAAATGATTATGTTATTAAACTGGGAAGCCATATACCCAGTGCTAATCCTCACAAAATGTTGGTATTGATAATTCAAATGGATGAACACCAATGTATTAGGCCACAAAGAGTATAATTAATTATCAGAGAATGACAAATGATTTCATGTCTTCTTTTCATTCACCAGTGAAAGATCCAGAGAGTGATTTTGGTCTTTCTAGTGTCATGATGTCACTGGAGCAAGACAGGGGTAGAAGCCTTTCATGACATCAGAGTGCCCTGAAAGGCTTTACAGCTAATGAATTCTTTTGACGTATAGTCACTGTTTTAGAGTATGTAGGAAATGCAACAGTCAATTTGCACTCAGCAAACTCCCAAAAGTATCAATGTGATAATGACTTGTTTTAGTAATGTTGATTGAGGGAAAAAGTATGCATTGGGACTTCAGGGATAATTTTCTGGCTCTTCATCTTGAAAATAGCATGGGATCTTTTATGTCCCTATGAGAACAGACATAGCCTTGGCTTAATGTCTTTATCTGAATGACAGCATCTTCAGTAATACAAATTTGCTCAGCACTGCATTGTGTGTCTGCCTAGATTAGTGTGTTCAAATCTGCAGTGTGGGACATCAATCCACAGACATCTAATTAAGAGCTAAGTATGCTATCCACTGAGCCCGTGGCAAGTGGAGAAGAGGCCAGGCCAGTGTGTAAGACAAATATTGAGGAGGAGAGGTCAGAAGCCTGCATTCTCTAAACATGGCATAGGGTGGAAAAATTCTGCACCTCCTAGCATGGCATCCTGTGACATATATTTGTTAGAAGGTAGTTAAAAGTCTGATTTTGATCAGAGCAATTGCATCAGGGTAAATTAAGTCTTGCAGTAGGGCTTCAAGACAGCTTTGGTCCCTTCTTTTTATACATGCCTTGAATGGAGCTTGTTTCCTGGTAGAGGTCATGAACATCTACTTCTTTTTCCTTTCATGGGCAGACCAAATCTGCCAGAAGTGTTTTACCCATTTTCTTCCCACTGCATAGAGAGCTTAATAGAGCAATAGTGCCCGGATGTCTTGAACGTCAACCTCAAACGCTGGTATGAGGTGACTAGGGTCAGCTGGGATAAACTCCTTGTTTTCTTCCTTTCCCAAAACTTATGTTTCACTTCCGGTTTTAATACTTTTAGGAGAAAAGAATAGAAGGGTAAAAAGAAAAGTTTGTTTCATGTGATTTTGACGTTTTATCAGAACATAAATTATCTGCGCATTGTTAATGTCAGTCTCAAGCGATGTGAAACACATCAGGTAATTAATGGAATTAACTCTAACTGAAAGGTAGCATATGAAAGCATTGACCACTATCTTTATGATATCAAGTATATGGAGTTTCTGTTCTTTAGATTTTCTCCAATAGCAGTATCCAGTCTCCAGACAGTATCTATTCTGCTTCCCTAAACTGTGTGCTTGGAATATTAAATAAGTCGCTCCATTCTGTTAAAGGGAATTATTTAAAGGTCGATCACAGATCACAATGAATAATGGAAAAATAACGGCTTGTTAATGCACAAAATTGGTTTAGCAAATTCAGGGGAGTAAGAGAGTCGTAAACCTCTAGAACTTGCTGGTTGGTTAGATTAAACATCCCAAATGATATTAAACAAACCTGCTGGATTCACACATTAATTGTCCATTAAATTGGCCTAAGTTAAGGCTGGCAATTAGCAATGCAAGAAACATTCAAGCTGAAGGATATGGAAAAAGTTTAACTACCACATGCACACACCAGATGTGGCTTAATGGACAATGGCTTATTTTCAATTTGTCTCAGCACAAATATGTGCTTTGTTCTGAACTCCACCGACAGAACAAGGTAGATAAGTGCTGAGACAAGTTGAAAATAAGCTATTGTACACTGATCGCCAGTAAAAGTACCAGCTTGAGTACGTACTGCAGTAAGTGATGAAACACACATCAGGTATCTTACCTTTCTCAGTGTGCATTCTTTTCACTTCATGGCCTCCATCCTGACAAGCAACATCTCCTTCCTTGGGTCCAGGTAGGATGGTTGGGGACAACCCCAGGAGAGTCTGGTTAATTGACAATCCATTCTGATGGACAGCTATTAGTTAAAGCAAACAATTTACTTTTTAGTAACCATTCAGTTAACCATAAGACAAGGGAGAGGCAGAATCCCTGCAACACATTTGACATGATCTGCTCAGCATCATCCAATATTCAGTGCAAGAATTTGTTAATACTTTAATAAAGCAAACACAATGATAATATTTGTTGGTATTCAGTTTTTCACAAATTGTGGGTGTTGATGGCATTGTTCCTATGTATTGCAGTGGGACAAATGTCAGTTTGATATCAGCAGCAAAACACCTATTCTGCAATCAGTTTATTTCTTACGGCCATAAGCATGGTCAAGCCAGTTGTCCCAGTTGGGTTATCAGGACCCACTATTCAATCACAAGTATTCATAAAAGAACTAAAAGGAAATAGAAAATAAAAGTAACATTAGCACTTATATATTATTTTCTTTTGCAATGATATTGCAAGGCATCCTAATTAAAAGGCTGTACCAATTACGACTATGTAGACCATATTGTTACAATACCCGCAGGCCAAAAATATTCATGTTGTACTTCTAGCAGCATATGGAAATGGCACTTGATACATTCTTAGTAGCCTATTCCTAAAGAAGGACTTCCAGACAGTGTTATTCATTATGCATGAACCCAGTGATTGTTACAATTAGATCAACAAAAACTTTCCCAATAGTCAAGAAGAAAAAGTTGTTGGGTTCTGAGATCGATTCCTGCCTTGGACGACAGTCTGTATGGAGTTTGCACATTCTCCCTGTGTCTGTGAGGGTTTCCTCCCACAGTCCAAAGATGTGCAGGTTAGGTTGACTGGCCATGCTAAATTGCCCTGTAGTGTCCAAGGATCATTAATGCAGGGTAGTGGGGTTAGGGTGGGATGCTCTTCAGACAGTTGGTGCAGACTCAATGGGCCAAATAGCTCCATCTACACTGTAGAGATTCTATGATGGTCAAAAATTGGGAAAGGTTTTGGGGTTGATCCAAATCTCTGCTGGAGCCACCATCTTTTAGCTATAGTGCTCTTAATAGCTCTGGTCTCTCTGTACCGAGTGGGGTCGCAAAAGATGGGGGTGGGGGTTAAATCAGACAAGGTTCCTGTTTCGTGCGTCTAAATAGTGCATCCTTCTTGAAAATCCATATGTCCATCAGACAAGCAGAGGATCAAGCATAGCTCTGATTCTCAAGTGTCAAATGTACTGTTAACACTTTGGGATTCATTTTCCTGACCTTTGCTTCCTGAGGAATACAAACATAACTGCAGCTATCCAGCATTCTGAGAAAGAGGGCGGTTTGACAGCGTTGATGTTGAGAGAATGTTTCTATGCCGTTGGGAGACATGAAGAACGAGGGACACAATTTCAGAATAAGGGGGCCCTTAAGATGGAGAAGAGGAAGAATTCTAAATTCCAGAAAGTAATACAGTCACTCAATATGTTCAAAGTTGAAAAACAATTTGGTCCACAAGGCAATCAAGGTTAATAGGGGATTGGGTTAGGGGGTGCAGTTGGTCAGAAGATGTTGAGTTCAGCTTCAGTTGAGACCATAATCAAATCAACCACGTTCAGAATAAATGGCACAATGGGTTCAATTAAGCAAAGAGCTGACTCCAAATTCTGTTTGGACAACAATAAAAGATGCATAAAGAGAGTGGCACAGTAACACAATGGTTAGCATCGTTGACTCACAGTGGCAGGGACCTGAGATCAATTCCTGCCTTGGACGGCAGTCTGTATGGAATTTGCACATTCTCCCTGTGTTTGTGAGGGTTTCCTCCCACAGTCCAAAGATGTGCAGGTTAGGTTGACTGGCC